GGCATCCAGATTAACTCCCAAGACCTTTTCTGATTCTCAATGGGAAAGTGCCCAAGCAACATTGCCCGGCAGCACTACTTAAAAATGTTGCCCCGAGTATCATCACCTTAAGGGTTGGTTCCGTGATTCAGTGGAAAGTCATGATTACCAGTGTGCTGTTCTTCCCACCGGATATTGGATACCCTGATGTTAGGTACTATAAGGTTTTTCACACTATGGTTAGTGTCATTTCAACCCCCGGGTTAAACAACGTTTCGCACTTAATTTTTCAAAGGGATTACGTCACAAAATGATGATGTAAAGCATCATAAAGAATGCTTGATGCAACCTAAAGGGTCAAGGTTTTTCTTCTTACCATGGCCTCTTAGCCCCTGCTGGTAGATGTTGTAACTACACACCATATTTCTCCACTGACAGTTTTTTTTAACCCCACTTTTTTTTTTCCTGTGCTGCTTTTGACATCACAACTTGGGATAATCACCAGTGAACAGTTCAGGACTGTACAGTGTGTATGTTCATCAGCCAATTAGCATTGTGGCCACGTCATTTTGCTGCAGCTCTAGAGTGATTAGTCACATGGCTGGCTGCAGAAACAAGTCCTCATGAGTAAATATGCCAGATTTCACATTACATACTTCCACGGGTTCCAAACCAGCCGAGCAAGTGCCATTGAGATGACTGTGAATGCAAACGGATAGCTTTCTCCAGGATACAATAGCTAAATGCAAACTTTTTTATTATTTGTGGCATGGTTCTGTGTTTTTAATTTTAAATGTCAAGCGATTCTATTCAGTTTTGATCCAAACTGTTTTGTGTTGTAAAATTATTGCTTCATGATACCTTTGCAGCTGTTTGAATATCAACTAATGAGGAACTGAAAAGGACCAAAGAAGAATTAATTTGCATGAACAAATTACACCTTTCCTTTGAAAAGAAGTGGTACAAGGATATATTGAAACATTTTCTTTTCTGGTATATAAGCACTAGGTACGATTATTATACTTCTAAATCTTCAATCTTTTTTTAATAAGGAACCTGACCAACTCTTGAGTATCTTAACCAAAATAAATATCAATAACTTTGAATATTGCTGTTGACTAATGAAGTCACCAATTAAGCAACATAAAGAACATTTTCAGATTACATTCTCTACAGAGATTGCCATCAAGTTCAGAAACCGAATTAACTTGTCTAGGAAACAATAATGTGTTAGTCTTTGATTAATCCATCTTTTTCCAAGAACACTTCATAGAGGTCATAAGCCGATTCCTTCTGCCACTATGTGGGAAGTTGTAAAAGTAAACAACCTCATTGGCCCCTATGTAAATGCTTTACCGGATGGACACAACTGAACTGTCTGTGGTGAACTCGAACAGCACAGGGAAATGAGGAAGTAAGCAATAAGGCACATTAGCGCAAAAAGCCAGTCGTGGGGACTGCGGATCAGAGACAGAGACGGGAAATAATGGCATTCTTGTGAAGTGTATGCTTCTATTTTTAAAGTCTGTTTGGATGCAGGATGACCAAGCTTCCTACGTCACTGATGGAATCAGAGGGCCAGAATTACCGTCCATATCAATGATTAGATTACCACAAACAGCGGATACAGGTGAAATGTCAGTGTGCCACGCTTCCCCCGTGCATTGCTTCTCTATGGAGGCAGTGTTCTGATTAAATTAGCCTAACGTGGGAAGTTGCTAATCCGAGCCAACCCAGGATTAAGCCTGCAGGACATCGAGAGTACATGGGAGAATGCATGTTTGAGTGTGGGTTGCTGAGTGGGTGGTGGATAACAAGGGTTTGCGGAGAACAAATAAACCTTGCTGAACATGAGGCTAACAAAGATACCCCTGTAATTTCGCTTTGTCTTACTTCATCATGATGTTGTAGAATATAAAAAGAAATGTGGATTAATAACAAGCAATACACACTTGATTTGCTCTGGAATTTGGCTGACGTGTTGGTCGAATTCTCTTGTGCTTATTCTCGGTTTCCATAAAGAAGTGCTTTTTCATTTTATAATGTGGTCAGGCTCTGCAGGTGGCTACTTATGAAAGACTATACAAATGCAATATGCCTACAGAGTTACTAAGGCCTGGAACAAAAGATGTAATATTGTGATTATATATCGAAAATACCTGCATCAGTGGGCTCATGATTAGCTGAAGATTAACCACTTTAAATAAAAAAGCTATGGAAGCTTTCCGCCACTGAATAAAAAAAAAAGGTAATTTCTACTTTTTATCTTGCAATTATGGCTTTTTTTCTCAGAATTGCATAATATAAACTCACAATTTCGAGTTATAAAGTCAGAATTGCAAGCTATAAATGTCATAATCTATACAGGTTATTCTAATTCCTCAATTCTGATTGGCTGAGGGCCTCAGTATTAACTTCTCATTACATGATTCTCTTTGGTTAATCTTGGCATTCATTGGTCAGATATTTCTTAAAGGGATAGTTCGGCCAGAAATAAAAATTCTGCCCTCGTGTCGTTCCAAACCCATAAGACTTTCGTTCATCCTCGGAACACACATGATCTTTTTAATCAAATCTGTCCCAATTCTGTACTCTCTATTGACAGCTACGCAACTACCACTTTGACGCTTCAAAAAGTTTATAAAGAGATCATAAAACTAATCCATATGAATCGGGAGGTATAGTCCAAATTTTCTGAAGAGACACAATCACTTTATATGATGAACAGATTGAATTTAGGCTTTTATTCACATATAAACATTCAACAACGAATTGGTTGATTTGTTTTGTACAGGAAGTGGAAGCTTTAAGATATATGCCTATAGATGGCTAATATACAGGTAACTCAAATCAATAGTTAATGTCCACGTATTTATTTATTTGGTTGATAAGCGCAATTATATGTAGAGTCAGCTGTCAATATCTCAAAATAGATGTAATAAATGGATCACGGTTTCCACAAATATATGAAGCAGCACAACTGCTTTTAACATTGATAGTAAAAAGTGTTAGAGCTCCAACTCAGCATATTAGAATGATTTCTGAAGGTTCATGTGACTGAATGGAGAAATGGCTTCTGAAAATTCAGCTTTGCTTTGCCATATACCAGGAATAAATGACATTTTAAATAAAATAGAAAACAGTCAACACACATACACACACACACACACACAATATCTCCCACACCCTGTTGGAGGAAATACACCTGTAAAGTACACTTTGTTGCAACGTACTTTGTTGTCTTTTCGTTCATAACCTTTAGGGTGGATGTGTAACTATGTCTTGTGTAATTTCTGTGTTCCCACAGTACTCATTTATCCCCAACTTCCTGTTGACAGACCTATGAGCCACGGCCCTGCGCACTGACAGGCATGTCCTAATGCTTCCCTCTCTGTTTCAACAAAGGAATCGGGGGTAAACAACAATCGGAATGGGCTGACAGATACGGGCAGATGAAAATTTCTCGAACATGAATATGGGAACCGGGTGACTTTGATGGTTTGGAATGCTGCTCACCCACACATGCACAGACGCCCACATATGTCCCACACATGTCTCACATATGAATACGCATAAAGATTACTCATTGTATGTGACACTTCAAGATCCTTCACATCCACCCATTCCATTCAAAGACAGACATTCTAGCATGAATAAGGCTAATTGATTCATTGAAAGCTGTTTAATTGGAAAGAGCAAACAACCTCTTCAATAAAATTCCCTTTAGGGTGGGAAAGCAGCTAAACGTTCTTACAACACATGTCAGCTTATTAGGAGCACAACAAAGAATTCATTATTCATCAACACTTTGTTTTCAGGTCTCCACCTTGCCGCATCACCGCTTCGAAAAGTGGATGAGGGAAGGTTTATATAAAACATATATTTCAGTGTTGTAGTGTAGGACAAACCAATCAGACATAAGAATATAAATGCATAATCATCATCTTGACTAATACTCTGTAAAAAGGTTGCCGCCTTAAATTTTTAAGTACAATCAACTTGGATGTTTAAGTCATTTCAACTTAAATTAGCTTACAAAATAGCTGCTGAACATTTTCACTATTATTTCTCCTAAAACAATTAGTTATCATTTTGTAACATTTATGAAAATACCCTTGATCTAATAAGTATATAAAATTAGGATGGTGATTTTAGTTTGGAGGACAAGATTTAAAAAAAAAATAATAATTTAAATGGGTTTTGCGCTAAATGTTTAAAAACAAACATACATGCACCACAGAGAGAAAACACATTTGTGACTTTGTGAAAAATATATAATTACTTAGATAGCCCTTGTGACAACTTCCTTTTGGACATTTAGCCATGGTCTCCACACTGTAAAATCTTATATGAGCAATTTTTTTTACGTTGCTTAACTCAAGTCAGTTTAATGTAATTTAAGTTGAAATTAGCTACTTAAAGATCCAAGTTGATTGTAGCCTACAGCAATTTTCAACTCTACGGTGGAGTTTACCTTTTTAGCTATATATTTTTTTTATAAAATGCTCAAATTATTTGCTTACATAACATGTATACTTTTATGTCTTGAAAAATTGATCTTTAGTATTTTTTACTGCTATATAGAGGTGGCGTCACCAACTTCCTGAGATTAGAATTCCACGTAAGTTTGTTGTTTACCGTAGACTTCTCTCGTATCCAAGCAATGTGTTTTCCTTGACTGGTTGCCCAGATACTTCCTTATGACGTCAGGACATAGTCACGCCCCTCCTAAATCAGTGGCTTCTCCACGTTAACATATTTTAAGGTGGCTCGGATCTTATAACTTGTCTATATCTGTGTTTTACCATCCAATTGAGCCTCTTTTTCACTCGTAGATTACATCTGAGTGAAACTACTGTCATAACTTCATACAAATGTTATGAAACGTCCATAAAAATGGAATAAAGCATGTGATTTAAGGCCTCCACCTTAAATCACATGCTGACATCGCAAGAAGCGAAGACTCCACCCTTTCTATGAGCTGCTTTGTAAAGAGGTGTTGTACCTCAACTCCGACGCTCGAATGCTGTCACACGGTGTAGTTTCGGATGGCAGGAACACTCTGGAATAGACTTGGGATTTAAACCGGTGTCTGCACTGGGAAAGCCGATTCATTTAACCCAGACACATCTTAGCGGACATTCTTTGGGGACAAATCTAAACTATATACATATTTTTTCTATACATGCCAAAACTAGGCAACCTTGTGGAGGATTCTGAGACATTGTCGCGAAACTTTGAGGTTTTCGCCACAATTATTGGTAAGTGTCAGAGTCATATTTTTAACAAGGATATTTAACTTTTTATGCAACAGCTGGTTTGCTGTCTATTCTTTTTGCGTTTCGCAGTAAGTCTGGTTTCGTTTTAAAGCAAGTTACGTGTTTAATTTGACTTTTTACATTTGTTTTGAGTAAAAAATCTATTATTGATTTCTACCAGCTCTGACCTTCTTATTTGAATTTGTAAAGTTAAAGAGATTTTAATTAAAGACGTTTAAAATTACTGTCATATTTTACACACCCTCGTGTTGTTTTGTGTCACTTTCTTTCTTTTGTGGCACACAACAACATTAGATTATTAGAATATGACAGCCACGGTTTCGATGCAGCATCTTTTTCCATAAAATACTGAGGTTGTCATTCTGCCTAAGTTTCCTTTTGTTCTCTACGGAAGAAAGTAAGTCAAATGGGTTTGGATCAACATGTTGGTGAATGACATAAAATCAATTTTGCGTGAACTTTTCCTTTTAGTACCAAATAAATATGAAGCTTCCACTTGATGTTAATTTTTTGCTTATCTGACAAAAAAAAAAAGTTGTTTTGGACCTGCCTCGCTTGTTTGGAAATGGGCTTATACCTATTTTGGTCACTGGTAGGCGCTAAAACTACACCGTAAATTGTAGATGGATGGATAGATATTTTGTTCTCACACTGGTTCACACAACTCAGTGATGGCTCTGCTCATGCACTACGTAAATAAGTTGTAAAGTCTGGCATAAGGAACAACCACTTGGGCCTTATGCCAGAGTTTTTTTTTTGTTTTTTTTTGTTTTGTTTTCACAGATCTGAAACAAGTTTTTTTTTCAGTAGTTTCTTCAGATAAGGTGTTATATCATAGCTGGCCCAACCATCTGTAGACGTTTGCAGACTGTAGCTTACAGCACATTTGGCACGAGAGCATGATTGTGAGTGATTGACGTAAGTGTCAATTTGTGTATCGCCCCAAGCGATGCTTATACTGGATGACTGGTCTGGGACGCGACGTTTCCTTAAGAGCATACTGTCTTTTATGGAGGACTATTTGAATAGAGATAACCATAATCATAATGCAAGCTTTCAAACGTAAGCTGCACACGTAGACAGATTACAGGCTTACAACATGCGTGTATAATTATATATTTGCATATGGATGATTCTTCAATATCATTATAGCTTTATACTTTAATTGACTCATTTTAAAGATTTTTTTATAGTTACATTTCTCTAGTTACATTATTAGTCACTGAATAATTTGCACAATGGCAAACAAATATGCAACCTAGACACTTTTTTGTTTATAATGCATACGTTTATTATACGTTGTTTTGGAAACATACCGTTTAGTGTTGCCATTTAAACATTCAAGGTGATATTCGGTGACTTTTGTTACTTTGACAGTTTGCCTCATGAATGGTGTGGAATTGGTAAAAGTAGGTTGGATTCCAGGACTGGAGCTCCTCGCCCACTCAGATTGGATTTGTCCTCAATGAGGACAGCGATGTGGGGGGAGAGAAAGGAGGCGGGGTTTGTGCTCCACGTGGGTGAGGAGTCTGTCCCCTCGTTGGCTACGAGCATGTGACGTCTTTACAGAAGCCTCCTCTGATTGGACAGCGCTTTTGTGGGTGTAACCATAGCTGCACAGTGGAAGCGAGATACGGCGAAACAACGGGCATTAATATGCGTGTTTCACTGGAGTTTCTCTTCGCGATGAGGGCTGGGGTTTAAAAAAACCGTTGCGCTGGTTTTGCAGTACACTGTCAACGACAAAGGACTACAGTTTACAGAATATCCATTTTTATGCACTATCGGAAAATTAGAATTAAATACTGCTGTAAAAGAAGCTATTAATTTGGAGGCTCACAGCAGGATCGATCACCAAACGGGAATAATCATTTGGGAATATTTTCCAAGACCTTTTACAGATAGCTTTCCACCGAGAGATCCAGCCCTATCCATCTGTCCGCTTCCACCGACCCTGTCTCCTCTATCGTAGGCTATCGAATGGACCAGCATCCGAGCGCCCGGAGCTGCAGCAGTCGCGGAACTGCGCCGTCCTGCGAGAGCGTCTCCGGCGAGCCCCCCATGAATTTGTACATCCACTCCACCACCGGCACACGCTTCGAGCTCTCCCTTCCCGCAGAAGAGACCGTGGAAGGGCTAAAGAGAAGACTCTCTCAAAGACTGAAAGTCCCCAAAGAAAGACTCGCTCTGCTACACAAAGAAACGTGAGTAGTAGCCTGATGTGTTACTGTTGGGTTGAACGGTTGCTTGTTTTTAACAATGGTTAAGAGCACGTCAGAAGGTTGGTTTTTGCTGGGCTTCCTAATGGAGATTTTCAGCCGCCTCCAATGTCAAGCCGTTTTAACATTTATTCAGTTAAACTAACTAGTAGGATTTATATTTTTTGTGTTACCAGTAGGATACTGGGTTTTTTATCACAAGTAACGTTAGCCTAGTACTGGTAGTAATCTTTCCTCTTCATTAGCAAATATTCATTAGATATCTAGATCTAGTGCATTGAATTAGCACTGTTTAGTATCTATTCAGTTAGTCACTAGTGCTTATTCATTGAATACTATAGCGTATTTTTTTAGCTAGCGCTACTTGGCTCGTATTTCAATAATGACAGGTAACTACACATTCAATTCTGACTAGTACTTTCTGGTATGATTCCAGTTTTTTTCAACTCATTAGGTAGGCTAGTAGTACTAACTGTTTAGTCGTTTTTAACCAAATAGTTACTATTATTTATTCCAGTGTAGTTTCTTAGATTGGGATATTGACTACAAGCAAAACAATAATCACTATCATGCAAGGAATGAGCAGTTGATGACTACTGAATAGATATTATCTAACGGAATAAGTACTAGTATGACAAAGAAAGGTAGTCTCTCACTAGTACAAGAATAACTAGGCTACTAGTAACTAATTAGTAAAGGAAATGGCTTGCCATAGACACTCTTGGAGCCCTGTTTCACTTTGTTGCATCCACAGCACCAAATTTTCTTTTTCTTTTGCTGTGGCAGTCCACAGCCTCTTGAATAGAGAAATGAAAGTGATCTAAGCTGTTGACAGTGTGCTGTGGAAGTCAGTTAGGCCATGTGCAAGGTGCGCTAGAAACCTGTGATATCTGAAACTGTACTATAGCCTATTTCAAAACATTATGCAAGCTTTACAGCTTATAAAGGGCCCAAAGGTGTTTCCTGCTGACAGTAGGACATGCATATAAATAGATTGTCCTAATCTCTTGATTAAACTGGTTTGTTTGCTTGGTTAGAATATGCATGCATTAGTAATTGTCATTATAAACTTGATGTCGGAGGAATAAAGCATTCATAGTGGGACTTGCGCTGCTCTGTTAGAATATTTTAAGCGAACGTTAAGGAAATAAGAGGCAATGTTAGTTTCAGGGCAGTTAGCACATTGCCTAACAATTGCACTTGGGTGGTGGAGCTAGGAGGTGAGAGAGAAGCTCTTTTGTCACTTGCAAATGACCCAAACAGTTGCATTGTTTGTGCTTTGAATTGGGCTGATTGAAAAGCCCTCACAAGTAATCACCACCAAATTACATCATCCTTTTAAAACGAAGAGCGTCGCTTAATCTCTTCTGTTTGGTTTAGCTGCCTCCAGGCCAAGTGCTCAGTCCCTTTGTTCGGCAGGAGGTGGTGACATTTAGCCTGAGCACATGTGTGTACATTATGCCACTAGGACAGACATTTTTTAAGGATTGGTGGGTTAAAAATACATTTAGACAGTTTTTTTTTTAACATTTGGATTCATGCGGGGGAGTTTTTTAACTAAACATGCTGATTTGTATGCACTGGTATCAGACAATTTTTTTTTTGTCGACTGGTAGAGGCTACACATGTATAAGCTTAGTTTGTTTTTGTATAAATATCTATATCTATAAATGTAGGCTACATCATGTCCGTACCAAACTGTTATTTTCATGCTGTTGTAGTGTACAGTTAAAAAGGGATAGTTCACTCAAAATTCACCCTCATGTCATTCCAAAGCTATGTGACTATTTTTCTATGGTACAAAAAATATATATTTTAAAAAGGTTTTCATCAAATTTTGGACCCCATTGACTTTCATTGTATGGACAAAAACAGTTATACAACATTCTTCAAAATATCTTATTTTGTGTTTGGCAGAAGAAAGTTGTAAACAGATCTGGTTTGGAATTAACATGCTGGAATTTTTCACATCTTGAGTTTTGAAGACTAACATCTCCTTGATCTTTCTAGACGCCTGAGTTCAGGAAAACTTCAAGATTTGGGAATAACGGATGGGAGCAAGTTAACGCTGGTTCCGACAGTTGAAGCAGGCCTAATGGTAAAAATAGCATGAGCTACATTATATTCGTTGTACTTCGTTGACCCTTTTTGTCACACTTATATTTACCCTAATTTCTCTCTTCCTAAAGTCTCAAGCATCAAGACCTGAGCAGTCAGTAATGCAGGCGCTGGAGAGCTTGACGGAAACCCAGGTAAGGTTTCACTCTAATAAGGTCATCCCAGTAGATGTTTGAATTACACAGTGGCCCATTAAAATGGACAGTTGTGCGTACACTTAACCTAATTGCCAGGGCAGCACTGAACACCCGCACTTGGCTCTTTTTTTTTTTTTAAAGGATCATTTGTGTGTTTTTGAACTCTCTACTGGGCAAGATGTTGCACTGGCACATAGGGTAATGGAATACAGATGATGCCCTTCTAAGCTTTTAACTCAAAGACCTCCACACACTTACTACGCATATTTTAAGAAACACCTTCCAGTTTCTAGGCAACATCTGTGAGCCGAGGCAAACCCCACCTAGAAGCCACTTCATTGAAAACGCCACCTTTCAAATGAAAGAAACTCTGGAACTACTATTTTATGATTATAACACTTTCTAATGTGTATTCTTACTTCATTTTACTTAATGTTTTGATTGGTTATCCAATCTAATGCTAGATATTGACAGTCATATATTTTGAAATACACTTGTATGTGCATGAAAATAGTCCACCTCCACTGCATCTTCTTGCTGATATTTTAGGAAATCCTGGGTTATTGTGTTTGTTTGTGAGTGACATCAGTGTGTGCATTTGTGTAGGAGAGTAAAGAGCCAATCTGTAATGATGACAGAGAAGTGTGGTTGTGTGTACAGGGGGAAAGGGTAGACAGGGGAGTACACCACTCTTAATGCTCAATATGCCTTCTCCCGGCAGCTGCAGTGTCTCCTCTTTCTGTAGAAAAGCTTTTTACCCTGTTAAAAGTGGCTCACGTTTGTCCTTTCTCATCAAAAAAAACTTTTGCAGTGCCGTGCAAACATTAGTCGTGCTTTTTCTCTGATCTAATTAGCTATTTGTAGGCAGCTAACTATGTCATTTGGTTGCTTATGAAACGACCCAGTTTTAGAAATCATCATTTTTAGTCATCGTTTGTGTCTTTTTTGTAGCTTCATGGTTACAGACATGAACTGAGAACAAATGTGAGACATGTCAGTCCTTCAGAACTGAAATTAGTCAACACAATTGTGCAGCCACAACGACTGTAAAAGGGGATCTGCATTCCATGATACCTACCGTTCTTGTCATGTATGGCTAGTTAAGGTCAGCCGACCGCAGTGGACGACAGTGGACGTTATAGTGGACGACCACATACATAGCCGAATTCCAAGAGCTACAGTGTTAGCTTCCAGGGAAAGATCCATCTCAGACTTCCTCGTAACCAGACTGTTTTATGGAAAGGGAAGGCTTGCAATTATTGGAATGGCATTTTTCCCCTTGTAACTCTGGCCTAACAGCCTTTTCTGGCCTATAATTTAAAGCTGCTGTGGTTTCGCTTGTCTCTCCATAGTCTCCAGTTTTACTCTCTCCGCCATTAAAGAGGAAGAACGGAATGACATCAAGGAGTTTCTTAGTTCCAAGGGAAAATATAGCTCAGTTTATGCAGTCCACTTGATTAATCCTCTTGAACATTTAAACGCCATTTTTGCATTCGAGTAGTGCTTTGTTGCTGGAAACTGTGCCCATCAAGTCGAAATAATGACTGGTGTCTGATTCTTCCGGCGACGGAGTACATTAATTAGAGGTTTCTGTGCTAATCCACCTCTACAGGCAGGTAGATTGCTCGCTTTGTCCTTGGGGGATAACATATTGGTTTGTTTCCTCAAGCAAGCGGTCTCAGTGCCACAGACTAGAGATGTTTTCCTGTCATAACTCTCCACCCTTCAGACACCCACCTACTCACTTTAGAATGGGTCCGGTGCCTGTCATTGTGTCTGAAAATGGACAGATGCAAATAATGGGATTCAACAATATAGAGTGAGTCACCTCTCTGTCACCCCCTTGTCATTTCCACCCACCCAACCCCCTTCCCAGAGGGAGCAAGGGATGAGAGGAACTGAATATGAGAAATGGCCGTAGTGACGTCACCCTTGAGGAGGGTCTAGAGTGTGTGTGATTACCAGGGATGACAATGATGAGTCAGAATCATAGGTATAGATTGAAGACAAAAATAGAAGCGCTGGGATCGCACGTCACACTGAGTAGCAAGGCTACACAGGACGCCGATGGCTTTCAAGCCATATCCACAATTAATTTTTTTGATTTAGCAAATATTTGAAATGGAAAAGGTGGGTTTTGCCATGTTGTGTGAACAGCTGGCACATGGGAGGAGATATTCGTTTGCATTCATCTGATCTGTGATCAGGGCCATGCCTATGTGTGTTTGCACAGAGAGCACTCCCGATCCAAGGGGGACTAAGTTGACATGGGCAATCACTTGGATTCGTGACTGTTCTTGTTTCCCATCCGCCTTTGTGATTGAAGTGCTCAGTTTCGTGACTGAACTGGGAGGGAAGGAAGGAGGGAGGGAGGGGGACTATGGAGAACTTCTCTTTAGCCGATAACCAAGCCACAAGCTTTTTTTAATTAGTGTTAAACTCCTCTTCTGTACTGAGCTGTTACTTTTTTAGCACTGTTCCTTATATTTGTCATTCTTAGTGTTTCTTTATTCTGTGACCTTTCTCTAAATGTTTTTTTAGTCATTAATTAATGCTGATTCCCATGATTGTAGATATTTTGAATCCTGTTGGCTGCAAGTGTGACACGTCTGTTTTGACTCAGTCTCTCGCCTACCCAGACTAATCTGTTCAGTCATCAGAGGAAAAAGGTGTTGCGCTTTCACGGCGCATATCTTTGATGGTAACCCGGAGCTCAGAAAATGAGGAAGAGGGGACCCGGCAAAAAATTAAGATGCCGTCGTCATTTACCTCATGTTCCTCGGAACCTGTATGATCTTAAAAGGAAAACATAAAAGATATTTTAAATTGAAAAGTCTTTTCAATTGGACCTAATTTTTCTTTTGTGCTCAACAGGAAAAATCTTTTGAATAAATGACAGCATATTCGTTTTGGGATAAACTATCCCCTTAAGGGAATCATTTCTGTCTGTGCCTTAAAATGATTTAGTTTTGGTCTACAGACATGATGGAAAGAGACTCCATGCAAGTTCTGGATGATCGAATTTAGCCTTTACCCACTGAATCCTCAGCATTCAATCTTATGTAGACCTTGAGTAGGTCAAACCCCTCGAGTGAAATCTTTAAAAGTAGCCGTCTCTTCAGGGTTTGAAGAAAGATGCAAGTGATTGATTATTGTAAAGGAGCTTTTTATTGCATCTACACCATTAGTGCTCCTAAGGACTAGGCTATACTACCCCCTGGTGCGTTCAAAACCAGCCAGTCGATGATGAGGGTTAATAAGCTGTTTTTAAACTTTCCGTGATTGCTGAGGCCTTTGATAGGTGACCAGTAGTCTTTTAGTCATGGTTGGTATCAAAAGAACCTGTTTTCTGATTTGACCCTTCATAGATGGGTGTATTCAGACTGTGGGTGAACGTCAGCCTGTTGCTGTTCTGAGCTCCTGCCCCATATCTCCTGTGATACAGAAGAAACCGCCTGAAAATGAGTTCCTTGAACCGCAGGGACCCCAATAAATAAAACTGTCAGCTATAGAGTTGGGAGGGAGAAAAAAACGGAAGGAGCCAGAGGCGTACTCTCACTGAATATTTCATCAGCATCTACTGGCATCCTTACACCCCTCCACCCTCTCTCTCGCTACAAGGTTTCTCCCCCAGCCCTCCTCCCCTGTCTCCCCTTATCATGTTTTCTTTCTCTCTCCTTCACTCGCTCTTCACTGCATAGCAACCGCAGCCCACTGCAGAGCAAAATGCCTCCCCAACAAATCAAAATGGACGAAGTGCAAAGATAAAGGAATAGTAGCGCTAGTCTGTTTCAGGTGAACCAATGTTGGCTTATCCAAGTATAGAATTCTTCAACATGGTAACTTGTTGCCATAGACATGTCAGTATCTACCTTTGTTAACTTTTAAATGAACCCAAACAGAATATGCAGACTTTTCCTGCATTTTCTGCACTGAATTTAGTGTTAAATTTGCTAAATGAATAAAGATATGCACATAAAAAAGGTGTTTGAAATTTGTCTTTTTGACTAGTAGTAATGTGGTCACCGATTCCTTGTGGGCCTGTTTGGAGTTTGTGATCAGTAGTTTGTTTATTTTTATTTTTCATGTAGTGAGTGAAGAAAGGGTGGATCCAGGTAGGCCTCCGGCATTTCCAAGCCAGTGTCAAGTGCGCTCGGTTATAGAACTTGATCTGAGTGCCTTGACGAGAGAGATAGTCGGTGGCCTTTAGAACAAAGAGACCTGTGCAAACGTACACTTGCGGTCTCTTTCGAGTACCTTATCCATTTTAGGTATTATAGACTACATGTTGACACTTCAGGCTCCATACACTTGACAGATTCTATATAGCAGTGTTACAGATCTAGCCAAAGTCTGGAATTTCTGAAACTCTTTTGATAACTAAATATGGGCGTTCTTCCACAACCACCAAGACTCTCCATAATGGTCTGTTAGTATTTCTTAGTTTTACTAGTCATGACAAGAACACTTAAAACACCACAAAAACATTTTTAACTGTAAACTTGAGGACGCATTTCTCAGATGCCGTGTAAGTGAAGACTGAAGATCTGTAAACCCGCTGTGTCCTTGTGGTCATTCGTTTATTGCACCAGAAGCGTGTGGGCTGGCCGTATTGACAAAGGTCTGTGTGACTCAAACTGACGGCTGTTGTGGGGAATGTCTATGCAGACCATGTCCTCACCTTTCAGAGGCACTTTTACTGGTTTATGGGGGTTCAAACACTCTCTCATTATGTGGGATGAGTCTGAGCTTTGAGTGAGTCAGTGAGATGCTTGGGCTTTATGATGACTGATCTGCAAGGCTAATGTGGGGTCTGGCACGCTTTACTTGATAATTCGCAGGCCCAAATCATTTTAATTATTAGTGCTTGGATGTTCAGCGCTCTCCTTGCTACAGATATTCAAAGCCTTTGTCCTATTACAAAGTCACTCTGCTATATGGCAATGGAGGTAGAGTAATTATAGGAACCTTTTGTTGGAGTCTGATTTGTGCATTAGATACAAATCAACTCACAAGACAGCTGTCAGTCAGGGGTGGGATCCACCCTCGCTCTGGGGTGAGCCACCAATTTCACAATTGACATTTAAATGGGTTGCAATCAAACTTGACAGGATATTCAGTGTATGTTCTTTTAATTTTATGAGTTCATAGTCATACATGAATATCAAGGAGGATTTTTTTTTTTTACTTTATCCTTCTTAAAGATGGAATAAGGGTCTCCGTGTCTGGCTCTCCACGTCTGACAGTGAAATGCACAGAGTGGAAAAGGTCACTCGACTGTGAGAGTGGCTGTTCGATGGAAAAATAGATCAGCAAAAGAGCTAGAGAAAAAAACGATGGAGGGTAGACCTCAGTGATTCAAAAGGTTAACAACAGGTCAGCCAGCACAAGCACGATCGGACGATGTATAGATCTGCTGGGGGAATCTTCATGGCTTTCGTTGTCTTTTTTTCTGGTACCTTTGATTCTTTCTTTGTGTGTTAGTCATTCTGCATCTTTAAATATTTACTATCACACATTGGTGAAGTTAGAACATCCTCAGAATGTGGCAGACGCAACACAGAGAGTCTGAGGGTTGAGATCGAACAAGGAGAAGTTGTTTCGAGTCAAGACAAGCACTCTGTATTTTTCGCCTTGTTTTCAAGGGGTCGGAGAAACCCTTGGCTCAACTACCATTCTGGGTACTCCTAAAATGGACAAGCCTTTCCGGTCCAGCCTTTCAAACAATTAGCTATTATGTGACTGTGTGGCGAGTGGGTCTGCATCCTGTTTCTATGGCTGATTTTTCAGGCCTGGGGCCAGACAGAAGTTAGTGTTTCGTGGGTGTGCTGAATGGTAGAGTGTTGTGTGTATGTGTGTGCCTTTTGTATACTTCTGCTTATTCATAAAAAGGCATTCAGTCATATTGCCAAATTCTTTTCCAGTTTATAGCAGTACAAATGGAATAACCAAAGCCACCCCCCTCTTCATTTCCTGTTCACAGGTCAGCGATTTCCTGTCTGGCCGGTCTCCTTTAACCCTGGCTCTGCGAGTAGGCGATCATATGATGTTTGTCCAACTGCAGTTGGCAGCGCAGCACTCGGGCGGCCCACAGTTACAGCATCGGCATCTCATATCACGCGGGAGTCCAGAAGGCACAACAGGACAGTCTCATGGAGCTTCGGGCTCTGCCTCTGGGATGGCGAGGGTTTCACACAACCCCCACCCACATCACCCGCACCCACATCCTCACCATCCAAACACAAAGCTTCCATCTAACCCTGCGGCCTTCCCACCTTCCCCCTCTATCCCATCTGTTCCTCCCATATACCCCACCTCAGCCTCAGGCCACTGTAGCCCTCCACCGAACCCCTCTCAACTCCCTGGAAGTTTTCTTCACTCCCCGCAGCCATCTTCGGCCTGTCCCACCTCTCCAAGCAGCCCCAGTCCTGCAGCTTCCTGTCCAGAGGTGAGCCACTGTTTGTCCTACATTATCCAATTCAGTCATTTTGTATAATAATGGCAATAGAGTTGATTTACCAATTAGATAAGATGCAAAAACCATACTAAGGGTTGACCACTGGCCCATGTTTTGCACAGGCCAACTGCCCAGCAAAGACGTCTGGCAACTGTAACACTCCCTCGCGGTCCCGCAAACCAGGCGCTATCATTGAAAGTTTTGTGAACCATGCTCCTGGAGTCTTTTCCGGGACATTTTCAGGTACAACTTCTTAATAGAAGATTACGTAAATCTTCTATATAAATGGAAGATTATTTAAATTAATCTATATCTATAATGTATATCTAATATGTATATTGGTTCTTCCCTAAGGCACTTTGCATCCCAACTGTCAGGACAGCACCGGACGTCCCAGGCGGGACATAGGCACCATCCTCCAAATCTTGAATGACCTTTTGAGTGCCACCAGGCATTACCAGGGCATGCCACCATCACTCACGCAGCTCCGCTACCAGACCCAGTGCAACAGCCCAAGTTCGCCAGCACCATCACCACCGCCCTCACCTCCCCACACTCCCGGAATAACTGGCCTGCCTACCAGAGTGCCCTCTGAGACTCAGCCCACCCTCCACCCACTGGTGCAGTGCCAGAGCCAGATCCGCATGTGCAAGCCTCCTGGTAAGTTTTATTGCATTTGCCAGAATTTGGCCTTGTAGTGATGCATGTCCTGGAGTGTTTACTGTAGCTAAAAGTATTTAGTTTGTAGCCAAGAGGTTCAGGATTCAAATCCAAGGCAGTGTTAACATGGCTTCAGAAGGTCCAAGACAAGGGTGTAAGGATAAGAAAAGTGAAGATGTTAGAGAGGGGGAGAAGGAACTAGGCTTGTTCTTTCAGGCCCTGGTAGTCATGCTCCAGCAGCCACAGCATGTCTGGCTTTGTCTCTGTGCTGACGGTGTCCTCTTTCCTCTGAGAGGCAAAGAATGGGGGTGGACTACTCTGTTACCAAGAGGAAGAAGGCAGAGAGCCAGAGCGAGAGAGATAACGAAGCGAGATAGCGCTCACAGACGTGTGGCAGGTACCCCGCTCTGTCTGGTAAAAACTGATTATCTGGGGCAGCTCACTTTAGCACTGAGAAGGAAATTGAACTGCTCTGTCATGAAACACCACTGTTGGAGAGTACAGAGATAATGAAGAAATATCATCCTTGCACTGTTCAAAGCACGGGCCTGTTATCAATCTAGACTAGATTAAAAGCATACCAAGCTAACACTGCACAATATGAAAACATATCATCAACTACTTGGGTGAAATAACTTCGGTCACTCGATTTTCACAAAGGGGTTAGGAATCCTACGCATTTTTTGAGATGATGCATAATTTTCCCGTGCGTTAACCCCTCTTCTGCTTGCATAATACTCAGTCATTGGCCTGTTTCTCACTTTTATACTGATCCCAAATTGAAATTAAATGGGCCATCCTACTGGTTCCCTTCTTGCTCATCTGCAAAAACTGTCCCAGCAGTCAGAGCCAGGGCTACTCAATGGACGCTTGTTTTCATATCAGCCTTTAAATAGAGATTTACACAATAAATATGAACTCCAAGAGAATGCTCATTGTGTTTGAAAGTCAGCAAGAGGAGGCGGAGGGAAAATACCAAGAGTCCATTCATAAAATAGTTGTTTATATCCGGCCAGTGACTGCCCACTGATTAATTGGTACTTCCTCTTGGGCAAGAGAGAAAAAAATGGAAGGGCGCTGTGCCTATTTTCTGGACCAAACTGCTTTGCTTGTCAACATGTTTGTGAACTCATGGTGTAGGGCGAGATTTAGTTGTGAGATCGCTAGACAGTGGTTTTGAGCTCTTTAAGAGCTTTATCTCTTAGCACCTGGTGACCAACTTGTCTATATTGAACAGACACCTGTGTTTTTCATGACCCCTTTGAAATGTCACATACTTTTAGCCAGGGTATCGTCATTTCTCACAATACTGTCTACTTGATGTGATTGCAGACCAAACAAACCCAATATCCCCACCATACTTGTTTAGACATCCATCTATGCACACTGTTGTTGGATTCTTCTATATATTTGGCTTTGGCAGACTGTAGTCAGTGTTTGCAGTGGGGTTGGAGAGAATATGGGGGATGGAGAGCTGGGGCTGCAAAGAGGGTCGGCTATTCTTCACTCAAATTCCTGTGCTCGCCGGGGTCTCTCAGACCACTTTGCCCACTGCAGGCAACCCCTTTGTTTGACCTAGTGTGCTCAAATAGTGCAGTAGTGTACAGGCCTCGCCTTTTGTAGAGTGAGTGAAAGAATGAATGCCTGTAGGTTTAAAACTTAGAGCTGGCCTTTAGATTTGGTGTTGCCTGGCCACTGCGCTGAATGGAGGGAGGGAAGGGGGATGAAACAAGTTTCAAACTGGGAGGGGGCGGATAGTGCAGGAATGCTTTCGCCCCTCAATGTTCTGTACTATCTGTCAGCTCAGGTTAGTTTAGTTTGGGTTGTGCAAGAGCGTCAGGGTGGAGCTGTATTTTAGCAGGTTGAGAGAGAAAGAACAAGGAAGGGTGCTTGAATTCCTCCCCTCGCTCATTTAATCCGACCGAAAGCAAATGCTCCTGGCTGCTGTGTATACTGCAGCAATGTGAAATGTCAAGATTTCAGTCCTCTTTGTCTTGGGCTCCCTGGTGCTTAAACATTGCCAAGTTCTTTTCCTAACCCAAAAGAGACAGTTTGCCTCTGTGCGGATTGCTAGATCAAGTGCCCCAGGGCTCTCACCGTGTCACTGTGGTGCTCAGACCTGCCCAGCTCAACCAGGGGTTAAATAATTAATTCCCCCTCCTTACTCACTGCCAACAAGCATGTAAGAAACCCCCCAGGCTGACTATCCTTAGCTGCTCATCTGGCGGGGGCCATGGCTAACCATATCCAATGTCTTTTATTGCTCCTAGTATGCAAATTGTGGTCATTTGAGACCACGGCTCCCTACTGGGTCATTGATGCCATCGCATCAGAGAAGCAATGGAGATGTCAGGCTTTGGCCGCTCCCCTGGTTTAGTTCTTGCTAGGGGTGCAGATGGCTGAACACAATGCCTGTCCTATGCTGTGCACCCACTCCGAGCTCCTCCCAACCCAGAGGCAACACTGGCGCACATCCCAGCTATTAGCTACAGCTGGCCTATAGAACAGGAGTACCTACTGATCTCAGAGTACATCTTAACCGGAGCATTGCAAAGCATTGCAAACTATAAAAGAGTATTTTCTTGGGGGCAAAGCTGGTCACTTTGTTAGAAGATCCTGAGGAGTTTTGGCTGGACAGTGCAAATGCTATAAATGCCTATAGATTGGTTAATGACCCTTAGTGCCCACAATAAAGAATATCTTTTAGAATTATTTAAAACACATGCCATGTTCTAGAAATGTACTCTTTGTATCTATTTTGGTTTCTTGTGGTTTTAAAAACCTTTTACCAAGTTTTTCATTTAACGAGCATTTCCCATTGTATTCTTTTAAATAGTCACTCTACATGACTTTGATTTTGTGGGCAAAAGTTATTTAAATATTAATAAGGAATTTTGTTACAGTATTTTCACAACATTATTATTTTTAAGTAACAACATTATTTAACATATAATCACTATTAATATTATTATTAAAAATATAAAATATTTTACGAATTGTATTCTTTTCATTTGATTTTTTTTTTTTTTTTTTTTTTTTTAAATCAGGAATCAGAAATCAGGTTTTTTGACAGAATGTTTACCTTATGCCTCCAAAATATATAAAAAATAAATTTGAATACCTATATTAAAAACATGATCATCTGGGAGGAAGCATATTCAACTCATTGTATGAGTGTATTGCATTTTGGGAAATCACTAGATCTGGACAAAAAATAACCATTAGAGGCCAAAGTTTGATGTCTGACACACTGTGACATACTTTTGTGTAACTCCCTCCTCCTCTGCCAAGACATCTCCCCTTGATGTAGAGTGATTGCTGCACCCAGACTCGAAAAGATCAGAAGACTTATCAAGACAAACAAACAAACAAGTCGAAGACAAGTGTTAATTAAGCTGATCTTTAATGGATCAATGGCAAAAGGGAAGCTTAGAGAGACTGCCAGATCGCTGTACTGTGGGCCGACACATTGGGTTGGGCTTAATGTTTACCCAAAACCCTGCTTAACTGACCTAATACCTGCAGACAGGCCCAACAGCCTCATCGATTGGGTAAAAATCCCCCCTCCGTTGCTCTCTCTCTCCTCATTCTTAATCCTCCTCCTTTCCATTTTCCTCTCTCACGTGGTTATCAGCACTCGGCCTGAATCTTTCTCCCTCCATGCAGGGATCAATACATTCTCATACATCAGCTCGTTCCCTTCAAAAAGCACGAGGCGAGAGCATAACATCCCAGCTTTTTGCACGCTGCTACTTTTTATATTCCAGAGGGATTTTTTGTGTAATCTCTTCCACCCTCCATGGCTTGTTCTCATTTGCCTATTTCTGTCTTTATTTATGTTCCTCTGAGGCCTCCGTCACGAGTCTGTATTGAGGAGGAGGGACGTGGGTGGATGTGGGTGCTGGGGGAAGGGGGTTAGAAAGAAGGCCAGGTGTATATCTCATGCGCGGGCCCAAACAGCTGTGTGGAAGGAGGCGGGGCCAGGGTTGTTTTGTCCTTTCCTCCCCCTGCTCCTTTCCCCTGAGGCTCGGGCAGAGCTTGTCACAAGCCCTTTTTTTTGCCCCAACCCCCCTAATTTGAGCCGCAGGCCTGAGAATGCCGAGTGCGCAGTGAGGACACTGCAGCACACACGGCTCGCTCTGAGACAATGCATCTTTGGCGAAGGAGGATGAGGGGAGGAAGGGAAGGGCAGAGAGGGTGAATGCAGGGGGAGGGGCTTTTTCTGTCCATGATGTTCACTTGCAATCGTTGCTGGCAGCAAAATTACTCTCTGTTCTTGTCCACCCACCCCCCATATGTGTATGAGTCCAAACCTTAGCATAGGGAGGGGTCTAGGAAGCACGAAGGGACAGAGAAGGGAGAGCTTTTGCACTGCTTGTTCTGCCTTTGTTCCCAATGTATCCCAGCCCCCCTGCCGCAGCCGTTCACTCTTTTTACACACACGACAGCTTAGGCGGATCTGTTGGGATGGCTTCAGGCTGGTGAGCCATGCCACAGCCTAATAATAACCCCCCTAAACGGGTGCATTGAGTCTCCCCCGAGCAGCCACGCTCGTCCTTATAATGATGCGGGGGTTGTTCGAAACATTCAAGTTAAGTTGGTTTTTCCTTGCAGCACAATCCCCAAGCCATGCCAAACTAGTGGTGATGTTTTTACAGTGTCCGTGGATCTGTTTGAATGGGCGACTGTGTGAGAAAGGACATTGGCAGAGGCCACAAATTCTCACAAAGAACAAAAAGGAACTTGGCTTAGTAGCCAAGGGTCTGCCTTAATGTCTTTTGAGACCATTGTAAGCTTTGTACAATACCTTGACAGTGGCATACCGTGCCCAGTGCTGTTAATGAGCTCCTCTGCTTTTTTTTTCCCCTCACAGATTTTTTGTAGTTAGGTCCCTTGGGGCACCGCAGCCTTATGCAGTAAGGTTTTTTTTTTTTTCACCAGCCCCAGTTGGTATGCAGAGAAGAGCTGACAGGCTGCAAGGTGAGGTGGCTGGCCTACTTTTGAGGCCTAGAGTTGCAGCGAGACTCTTTGAAAGGGCAGATGAAGGAGAAAAACAGTAGTGTAAGCTTAGAAACCCTTTCTGAATGCTTTATCTGTTGAGTTTGTGCAGTTGAACAAAGACCTTCATAACCTGTAAGACCAGAACCTCTCTAATCATGCTAAAATGCCAGAGAAAGCATCAAATCTGATTTGTCTAACCAGGTTAGGAAGGAACTGTTTGGCGGATCTGTTGTTGTTTGTACAGCCTGTTCTTTCTCTACAAATATCCAAATGATTAACTACCACTTACATTTGTATCGCAAATCCTTCCTAGATGGCTCAAACCCGCCCACCCCGGAAAGGTATTATGTCAAGGGGGAAATTAAAGCCACACGAAATCCTGATTTCATTTTGATATGGAAAGGTGGATGAAATTGATTAGCGAATGAGAATATGCATCTGAACTCTTTTTCTATTGCAATCTAGGTGGAATTCCAGAGCATGTCTTTCTCACTCTACCTCCTTGTCTGTCTTTCTCTCCTGAGGTATTGGGGAGGGGTGAACCGTGTGTGCATATGGGGGTGGGGGTCTTGGTATTGGGGGGTTGGGTGGGTGATTACTCGTTCAATGAGCTCAGGCCAGGAAAAGAAAGGGGGGGGGGGGCCGGCTCACTTCGCTTACAATTTCCATTCGCTTGCATTTTCTATTGAAAGCCAATAGCAGTGTCCTCGCCTGGAGATGGATTGCTGCGCTAGAGCTAAGGTTTAATCAATAGGTCTTTTTAATTTGCCATCGATCCATGTTAAAAGCTACTGCTGCTGGTGCTGTGTGCGTATGTTTGGCGGAGCACATGCGATGAAAGTCTATGCTCTGGATTATTGACATTCTAGCCGGCTATTTCATTATTTAATTCTGGGATAGTTCCTAATGGAGCTGGCTAATAGATTGTGGTTTCTTTTTCTCTTCCATTCTCTTGAATATATTTATAAATTTAAAGGTTTAGGGTTGAGCTGTGGAGTGGAAAACCCCCTCGTGTATTCCCCCCCCCCAAAAAAATTTTGGTGCATTAGCCACTAAAACCTTAGCATTGTTTGTGAGATTAGAAATTGCAAGGTATTTGCTTCCTGTTATAGAAATTGTATCGCTTAGGAATGTGTGTGCACATGTGGGTGTCGCTCCCCTTGCGGGCATGTAGGTTCCTTTATGAGAATGCACTTCTTCCTTTTGCATATCTCAAGGACACGCCTGCCAGAGCCACTTCTGATAAGGGAAGAGAGGACTTGCTGCCACATACTGGGATGCTCTTCTAAAATGAGACGGCAGCAGAGTGTGCTCATTTCTGTACTGACTAAAAAAGAGAGAGTGATTGGCCGGAGGTAATCGCAGCATGCCTTTTTAAGAACATTGACGTCACCACTCAGACTTTAGTTTATTTATCCAGCACCCGGCCTTTGAAAACATTCAGCAGGATCAGCAGTCGGGATCCAAAGCACTGAGTCATTCTGTCTTAGACCAAATATGTGTACTGCACCAGCACTTCCCCCTGCTGAAAACACTAGCGTAGATGGTCACTACCTTATGTTATGTTTTGGATGCTTGTCGGGGTTGTGGATCTAGCTTGGGATCAGATGCTCAATTGCAACTGATGTCCACTTTAATCTTTAAGTATTTCTTGGTCAACCAGCTCTACCTGAATGATTTGGTGCGCCAGCTAGGGATGAGTCACAGTGGTCAACTAGTCATTCAACAACCTCCTAGTCATTTATTGATTATTATTATTTACATATTTTTTATTTAAATATATATTTGTTGACATGCACAAATTGTCTTTTTTTCAACCCCTTTCTTACCCATCACAGCCATACACATTCAAATGGACGTCTTTGGCCATTGTTTCACGTCTTTCACTGTTTTTATTTTTAGTGTCTCGTCATGAGTTTTGCAATTGTAAGATGGCATGTAACTCAGGATTTGTAGTTTTGCACATTCTTTGCAACTTTAGCTAGTTTATTCTAACTTAATCAGTGCCAAGTAGTCTGAAGCAACAATTCAAGGCTTGACTGACTTTTTATTTTTATTTTTTACTCTAGACTCTAACTCTTACTCTTCCTCCCTGGTTCTTTAGGGGACCGATTGCGTCAGACGGAGAACCGTGCCACACGCTGCAAGGTGGAGCGACTGCAGCTGCTCATGCAGCAGAAGCGTCTGCGCAGGAAGGCCCGGCGAGACTCTCGTGCCCCGTACCACTGGCTCCCCAACCGCAAGGCCGGGCGCAGCAACAGTAACAGCAGTATGTCTAGCGAAGGCTCCCTGGACCTGGACTTTGAGGACTCTGTGTGGAAGCCGGACGTCAAAGCTGATATGAAATCGGAGTTCATCATGGCCTGAAGCCGCAATGGTTGCACCATTTTCAAGGAAGATTGGGGTTTACACTTTAGAGAGGAGAATTTCCGAAGACTGTACACACAGACGCACATTCAGAATATGGTAGGCTTTACTCCTCGTCTATCCTGTGACCACAAAGACTTTACACAAAGGAAGATTCACAGACTTTTACTTACCTTACGTCCTTGATAGACTACGATCTTGGAACAGACTAAATTTCCAAATGACGATGTTTGGATATGGATTGGACTGATAAATAGACAGAATTTGGACTCTGAACGTCCAAGAAGTAAACACAAATGAGCATAGCAGACGTCATCGGTGTTGGGATTTGTTTTTCTCTTTCCTTTTTTATGTTTTTCTTTTTTATCCAGGGGAAAGATCCATACATGCCAAATAAAGGGCATGATGAACTGACAAAAATCAGATACTGATCCTACTTCCTCCTTTTTTCGTTATGAATGGGCATTCACAGTTCAAGAATCATTTGAAGGGGGTTATCTTTGTTTTAAAGTCCTGTTTTTCTTGAATCATGATGATTTCTGAAACAATATGTAGCATTACCCACAAAGCATTCAGGTTTTTTATCTTGTAGACGAGGAGGGTTCATTTGCACACACACCTGTGATTTGAAATAGACAAATGATATCATAACATAAGCAAGAAATGGCACAGTGCATGTTTAGTATATAAATGTACAAAAAAATACAAAAAAGTATTTCTCAACAACAGCTCAGTAGAGTCAGAGGTTCAAGTAGGAAACTAGAATATGAAACGAAACAAAAATATGCTGATGTGATTGAAGATGTGAGGCTTGTGAAGTTGGTTGTTATTAGTATATATATATAAAGAACGACTTTTCTTTTTTACCTCCGCGAAATCAAACAAACCAACCAAATGTAAAACAGCAGTTGCTCAGCAAGGCTCAAGTCAAGCTGTGAAATGAATCTGATGTTTTATAATCATTTAAATACATTACTGTCTAAATGTGTATAATAGAGAGAGTGGTGGGGTGCCAGAGGAATAGTTTACAAATGTGCATTATAATGGCTGAGGGGAATCTCTCATTTATGCATTCAACTAAAACGACCCGCCGTTCAATGGTTTTATTCCAGCAAACACTGACAGTTGTGACACAATTTCAACAAGATTACCCTTATTTGTGCGTTCGGCCAGACTTCTTTGCAGATTCCCACGTAAACATCCAGACAGGAGCGTATCTCCCCCTTTACACTCTGATAGTGCCTCATATATAGACGTACTGACATATTCAATCAGGCGTTCCACAGACAGACGGTTCTGCTGCTATATGGGACTTCTCTTTGCATGCAAAAGTGTGAATTATCCTGATCCTTTTTTGTAGAAAATAATAATAATAACAATACTGAGAAACTGGTGCTGAAAAGAAAAGATATACAAGCATGAATTTGTGAAAAATGGGATGGGATGGGATGGGATGGGGTGGGGACCCAGACATTTGCCCCAGCTATTTGGGATTTTCGATTTGGAAACGAGATGTTACATATCGGTTGCAAACCAAAACAGGACTGGAATTCTACTGTACATGGATCATTTCTGGACTAACTAAGGAACAATGGAATATTTTCTACTCTCAACATCCAAGGGATTCTCAGAGCAACCCCCAACACTCCCATTGACCTGTCCAGATGGGGACTGACCAACCAACATTCGCCCCTAATGACTACTTGGAAATAAACGTGAAAATGTCCTAAACCACATCAATGTTGCACTCACTGAGTTTGCAATGAGATTACCTACCTGAAAGGGAACATTGTCTTTTCCTTTTTTTTCTGTTCAAGTGGCCTTAACGTTCATTATCTAAACACTTGCAGAGTGGTGGACAACATAGGGATGTTTCTTTTGTTTTTGTCCTGTGATTTTGTTAAAGCATCACTTTTTCTGGGGCAATTTTTGTGTTTAGGAGGTGGAGGCTCTATTATGTCAAGGCTTCGGTGCCTTAAAGTTTTGCCCTATCGGTGTGTAAAAAAAAAAAAATTCTGAACAAATTATTCGCATTTATGCAGGTTTTTATCAATTTATAGGAGCTCTGTTAGAATATTGTCTTTTATGATTGTTACAAGTCACAACCTGGAGGTTAAACAGGTTCCATCAGTGTGTTCCGTTGTTTGTTTGATTACGTCCCTTGAACCCTGCTGTCCTACAAAGAAGCAACAAATTTAATTGAAAAAAGGAAGTTTCAACTGCAGTGCTATAGTGACAAAGTGCCCTAACTCTCAACTGAGAAGTCCTTTAAGGACACATTGACAACATGCACTTCCCTTCTTCTCAGATAAATGACTTAAAGGACAATTTCTCCCTTTCCCCCCAAGAAAATAATTATTTAATTTTTATATATGTATGAAATATACTCTGTGTGTGCCTCACCTATATGTAAAGCGGTAAAAAAAAAAAAAAAGAAGTGAAAACTGAAAAAAAAAAAACATAGGAGATGATCTGATTTTTAGGATTGGGTAATTGAATGAGGGTGGAGGGAGGGAACGGGGGGCATTTTCAATAGTTTGTTGGAGTTCTGATCACATCATTTAAGTTGCCTGTTCTTTCTTGTAGCCAATGAAAACTGATTACAAGAGTCAAGAAAAAAAAAACAATTTACAATGTTCTAGCTATAGACCGGTGTAGCACATGTGTGACTGTATTAATTTATGAAACCAAAATGGTAACTGTGAATTATGTATTTCTTTGTGCTTTTTTTTTAAAAGTGGGAAGAAGGCGGGAAAAAAGGGCGTTGCTGTGCCCTGTTTTGTTTTTGTGGAATATAATGGAAATAATCGAGTAAAAAAAAAAAAAGGAAAATATCTAAATATATTTTTTTCTTAAGCAATACATTTCAGTGTGACTTGTGATAGGACATTTTCTTTTTTTTTAGGTAATAAATTGAAAGAAAAAAAAATAATTTTTTGGTGTATTTTGTGTTTTTTGTCTATGTGTGACTTTATCCCATGTGGAATTTGCAAGTTGTATATATTTTACTATGAAAGCTATGTGCTACTATATAAGAGCTATGATAGATAGATAGATAGATAGATAGATAGATAGATAGATAGATAGATAGATAGATAGATAGATAGATAGATAGATAGATAGATAGATAGATAGATAGATAGATAGATAGATAGATAGATAGATAGAATCAACAATAAGTCTACTCAGGCATCAGTTTCGTGATGAAAGCTAGCTTTAAAGCCTACAGATTTATATGTGTCTGCTGTTCGCTCAACCGCAGGGGTGCCAGATCAGAGGCGGATCGAGCGAAGTGACGGCGACTGAGACTCCCAACGCTCCCCCCATCTGTCAGCCAGTCCGTCCTCCTCTCGAGAGCTGAGATGAGATGACAGATTGAGGGTGAGCGCAGGACTGGCTGGTACAGTAGGCAAATGTTGCACATACACATGCTGTTTTAAGGAGAAGCCTTCAGCTCAAAGCTCCCACTCTCTCTGAAGAATTGAGAAATAAAATATCTCGTAACATAAGAGGAAGCCATTTGCAGAAAAATTAAAGCAAAAGACAAGAACATTGGAGTTCAAATTGGTTTTCAAATGAGGAAGATCACTGGCACACACCACGCACGCTAATTCCAACTACTCTATTTAAAATCCCTGCTAGTGAGTGGGGTCATCTCAGAAATAGTATGTGGGTGACTTCCCTCTGGGTCTCTTCAATCTGCAATGCCAAACACAATTATAAAGCATAGTTTTTTGTCTTTATCTCGACATGTTTTTTGCTCTGTTATTGCTACGAGTAAATTGAATATATTTTTAATATTAAAGTACTTTTAGATGAAATATAGCAAATGTCACACTGCAGAATACACTGCTTGAGATGTCGACAACCCATCTGCTAAAATAATACATATCTACTTCTTTATCTTTTCCCCCATATTAATGGTGAATGAATTATGGCTGTTTACATATGTGGTGCAGCTTGTGCAGTTTTTGTTGGTAAGAACTACACAAGCAAAACCACCAATTCCCCAAGTTCCTTATGGTTTTTCCTCAGTAATGATATTTACAGGTAGGATAGTTTGCATATGAATTATCATTAGCAAACATTAACCCCTTCCATGAACTAATCTTAAAATCCAGCTTTTGATTAGTATAGCAGTAGCATTTGCAACTTGCTAACATTTTCATTTCACTGCTTCAATCAACGTTTCTGTCAACTTTACATTGATTCATTTCCCCATTCTGCACCAACTCAAATTATCCATTGAATTCATAATAATAAAAAAAGCGAAACTGACAAAAAAAAATCAATGTCTGAGGGTTTTATAGCATTTTTTGAATCTGACCCTTTCATGCAGTTCACATAGGCCTATGTTTCTCCACATGTGCAGCTCATTTGTAAAATTGTCATTGGCAATTAATAGGATATGCAGAGACTGAAATTTATAAAACTTGAGTCTAAGTGCATGCAGACACAAGAACAAAGTACTACTGTTGTAAACTACTGTTATCATAGTAAGAACTGCTGCCCAAGCAAAGCTTGAAGGCTAACCTTTTAAGTTTCCTGTAATGCTAAAACTCTTCTGTCAGACGAGTTTCCCAGAAGCAGACAACCCTTTTATGCATTGTCTTAGCTTTGCATCTGCCTCCACACCCAGCTGGTGCGAAGAAAACTGCAGTAGCGCATGTTAGCGGTGCATATTTAAAACGAAACTTAGCAATGGGGAACAGAGATGAGCCTGTGGCCAAGGACCTAAACCAAGAACGGCAGATCTTGAGGTTGAGTTATGAAGACATTTCCACGGTTCGACTGGGCACAGCTGAGACTGGTCACATGACACTAACATTTCTGTGTTTAGTAGTAGCTGATTGAAAAATTGTGCTTTGTGTGAAAGACAAATATTGTGTGAAAAACGTCTTTAAGACTGTAATAAATTGCTGCGTTCACGCTGTGTCGTAATTGCCGTAACTATTCAGACTTGTAAAAAGCAGACACGTGATCGTAGAACTCATACTCACAACATTAGGCTCATAATTTTCTGAGAGTTACGACTTGTACCATGTGACCGCTGTACCACACGGCCACTGCAGATTAATTTAGAGTTAATTGAGCAAGAGAAATGTTGTCATCTCTTACTTACGGTAATGACAAGGCATGAATGCAGAAATAACTAGTGCTTAGCAACATTTTTTACAGTTAATATTCATGAACAAAGATAACATGTTTTATATTGCCGCCTGCCACTTTTAATATAATTTTTGTACCCTTGTTTTTGCTTCACGTGTACAAACCAGCCCATTTTTCATGCTACAGTTGTTGTTGTTGTTGTTGTTTTTTAAACTAATATGTGAAACAAGACTGAAATGCATCATGGTAGTCCTGCCGTACGTTTACAGAAGGGTTGCCTTGTGAGTACACAAAGTGAAAACCCTCATGTGCTTTCTTGACAGGCTTTTTTTTTTTTTTTTTTTTTTTTTTTTTGCTCTCCGTCCACGTCTGTTAGTTTCCTGTGTAGTTTGCAAGAGAAGAATGGTGATCTGTTTAAATGTTCATCTTATTTATGCAGCTGTTGGGGCTGAATGGACCTTTAATACCATCATAGTTTTTCCTTTCTGTCCTTCTCTACTGCTTTCGGACAACACCAAGCTGTTCTGGATGCTTCTCATGCTTTTCCAGCTGTCCAGTCACAACACCAGGGTTAACCTTCGACCCTGGTCCACCACCATGGCGAATTAACAGTGAGTTTTTCTGGAGCATGGAACCAGACTTCAGATTCTGGCTATTCGTCATTGATCGTGCATGCAAATCCTACATGCTTTGTCCTTGTTACCCCAGTTCTCATGACATTAATTTAACAGTATGTGGTTTGTGTAATTAGTGCTGGGACATTTTTTTGGTGTCACACCTATGTGGGACGTGCTAAGTGTGGTCTGTGCTTGTCCTTCTAGTACAACGCTGCTTGAGCCCCCTCACATGCAACCTTTAACATGACACATGCTTCAGAAGGCCAAAACCACGTTGAATGCTGCAAACATTACTCTTGAAATTAATAATCGCTGCCTCTCATTTACCGGTCATGACCTAACCTGCTATTCGAGTATAGGCAGAAGCTCACCAAATGATCTGTGGTCTAATTATGGGCTTTCGAAGCTAATTGTGTTACATGTTTGCTGCTCAAGGGCTGCACTGCGAATGACATGATTTATTGCGCCACGCTTCGAGAAAGGCCAAGGAATCCTTCCGGTCCCAAACAGGCGGGAAGACGACCAACCTGCATCTCCTAAAGGGTCTCCGGACCATCAGCTCCAAGAGTCAGCTCCAGCATTCTCTGGTTAAATGTCAGCTCTGATAGTCTCAGATCATCGGTTAGGAGAAGCTTTTACAGGCACATAACTTAAAGGATATCATTACTTTGTGAAGAACAGCTGGTGTGCTTGTTAGATTGCACATGTGCCATTTAAAGACACTTGGCATTTAAAGTTTGGCATTCCGACACCTCAGGAACACCCCAGCGAAAGACTTTTCAAACAGCACCCAACTGTGCAAAATCCTGGAGACCTTGTGCAACTGCCTTAACTAACACTGTGGTTGCAGTCTCGTGCCTCACGGTGAGACTTCAACATCCTTGAGGTTTGACTGAGTGGAAAATACAGCCAACCCACGCATACCCGAAACAGACGCATCTACTTCGCTTGTGAGGAGAAGAACAAGCCCAGAAAGACGGGTGTTGTAACGTAAACCCTTTATCTGTGCAGCTGGATCCCGTGGCCTTGGGAAAACGAAGCTACTAATGCGACACATGCAGGTGTTGATTAAAGAACCGCAGAGGGCTCGCGTAAAGTGCATCTCCCCTCGGCAGTTTCTTTATCTGCATAATAGATATCAGGGGTGACCTGTATTGTGCAAAAGGTGCCGTCCCTTGCTCTGTGCTTGAAGGGTACAAGTGTCTGAAATGTGTTAGAAGTGTCACGTCTAATGAAAGTGGGCTGCAAGGCGCACAAAAAAAATGTCAGTTATTAGTGGCGCCTGTAGGCATGAATGATACCTTAGATTTTCCGGCTTGTTGAAAAGAGGTGTGCTTTACTGTTCAAACAACCTGACTAGTGAATTTCAGTTGGTGTACAAGAAAACGGGCAAAATATAATCTAGCAGACTTGAAGAGATCCGCGCCACATCTAGAGACCTGAATATTGTAGAGACTTTTGAGCTAGTGGCAAATAGGATTATCCCCAACATAGAAAAGGAAACGCAAATAAGTTCTAGGTGAACAACCTTGAACTGCTTTTAACTTGATCGCCGCATTTTTATAACGCTGTGTCATGCTGCAAAAGACATGAGCGCAACGGTCAAAAGCGCCCATCTAGCGCATGTGTACATAGAAAAAACAATGGAAAAGTGGAATGCAAAAACACATTCTGTTTAGTGTAGTGTCAAAATGTCATGTAGTTTAACCAATTTGTCCCGTGTACCTTAAACGTGCATGTACACATTTGAATCATTACATCATATCAGGACAGTTGTATCGCCCTGACATTTTTTTGACGTCATGCCCTCCTTAAAATATCAAAATGAAAAAACAAGCTCTTCATCACAGAAGCTCTGGCAACCACCCACGACACTCTAGCATTATGGTGGCAGCTTTTGCACAGTCAAAGCCACTCTAAAAATATTGTTTTTATTACAATTCATGCCAAGGAACAGCATGTACGTGGTATTCAACTTCCAGATTCCATTGAGCCAGGATCCTTCGACTTAATGCACCAAGGTCCTTTTATGGTACTGTAAACAGAGTGCTTTAAATCCAGCTGAGAAAGAGAGAGAAAAGAAATGAATGAACACAGGAAACCTCACTCTGGCAGGAAGTGGGAACGGCTGCTATGGT